TCTTTCTTTCTTTCTTTCTTTCTTTCTTTCTTTCTTTCTTTCTTTCTTTCTTTCTTTCTTTCTTTCTTTCTTTCCTTGACTCTGTTGAATCCAATGCTGCTTACTCCCAAATGTGTCTCTTGAATAGCACTTGTTGTTTTACATCCCTTTCATTGCCCTGATCTTGCCCAATCCAATTTTTTTTCCAGATGCAACAGACTACAATCTTCATCATGGCTAGTCAACCCAGCCATGGATGAAAGGAATGAAAATATAACACATATGGTGGGTGATGAGTTGGGCAAAACTAGCTTAATTTCTCCAATTTATAAGGAATTTCTTGAACAAGCTTTTTTTTTTTTTTTTACTCCTGTCTTGCCTTTATATAAGAACCTTAAAACAACAAGGACTGAAATGAGAAAATACAACCAATGTCTTCTCTTGTTTTAGGAAATTCCTGTCTGCTGTCCAGACCTTCATAGTTACACAGAGCATGAACAGCCTGTTGGCACCAGAATGCTTTTCAGTTTACAAGTTCAAAAGCTCAACCAGAAACACTACCGATCCTCTTTGAAAAAAGAGTTCAAGCAAACAAATAAACAAAAATGGAAGGAAAAGATCCAGATGGCTCTTTGATGGGGATATCTGCAACTCAAGCCATCTTCCTAAAAGGTAGGAATACGAAAAGTAGAAAGAGCTAACCCTGGGTGGTTTGAAAGCAGAACTCATCCTGCTGTATTACAGCTTTGAGTGGAAACCCAGAATATTTGCTGGAAGGAGGGCTTCCTTGCTCATTTTTTTTCCTAGCAAGTCAGCAGTTAAAACACAGGCTACCGACCTATCTAGAAATGGAACTACCAAAGCCTGGAAAAAATCTTTTGCTTCCAGGCCTAAAGAAATTAGTTTCCCAAGCCACAGAAGAAAAACAAGGCTGCCCCCCCCCCTTTGGTGTGTGTGTATGTGTATATTTGTGTGTGTGTGCGCCATGTATATATGAAGCACATGGAATACTTTTTCCCAGACAGGCTCATGTCTGAGTCTTGCATCTTAAAGTACTGCTTAGTTCCATTCACATACTCACACTCCCCACTCTTAAAAAGAAATTTCATTTCATGCTTGAAAAAGTTAAGGAGCCCTAGTTCTTTAGGAGTATGATATAAGATCCCAACAATTTTACCCCTCCCCAACTTCTACTTCAACACTTATTCTTTTTTTCCTGGCTGTTCCACATGGCACCATCTGTCTTGACTCAAACCATTTCTCCATCCTACTATCTTTTCTTCTCTCCTCATTGTCCTACCCTTTCTCTCCTTCTCATAGTACATTCCTTTTCTTACAATTCCTCACAGCTCCAAACATCCTCAACTTGGTGCCATCCAGATGGGGTGAATTACATCTCCTATCATTCCAGCTAAAATACTGAAGGCATGAAAACTTAGGGGATTGTTTTCCTCCTCCCCTTACTATAATAATTTCCTTGTCCCATCATCGTGTATCATCACCATCATTACCTTTATTTCCTTCAGCGTCTTCTTCAACCCTTTAAGCTCTACCCCATAGTTCCTTTTCCCTCCTCCCGTCCTATTCTCACACTCCTCAAGACGTCCTTAAATTCACCTCTGACTTGCCGAGTGTACAAAAACGTAATCTTTAGAATTTACCTGTCCTGGGGGTGGAGGGGGGAGAGCAGAGATTGTCGCCTTTCTGAGTTTTCTAAGACTCGACTTTTTCCCAGCAAGGAAAACTTGCCGGAGAGAAGAGAGGACTTCCGAAACTCTCTTCTGCCACCGCAGCCGGCGGCGGGGGGTGTTAATGCCAGTGGCGTTGAAATCCCCCAATCGTAGCCTTTTTCTGTCGCCGTCCCTTCACCGCGGACATAAAGAAGCAAAATTAAGGGACGGACACAGAAAAGGATTTGGAAAGAGGGGGGTGGAGTTTCAGCTCCGATTGACCAATCCCGAGCCGACAGAGAATGAAGTTCGGCGAAGTCGGAATGGCTTTCAAAAGTCCAGGGAAATTCAGAAACTCGTGATCTTTCATCTTTCCCCTTCCCCACCCCTCTCTTTCCGAACGAGGCCGTCCTTCTTACAAAGAGTCTGAGATTTTGAATATTTTCCTTCCACGAATAGGATTAAGGAATGGCATTCTCAGCTTTTGGCAGGCTTTTCTCACTTTATTCAGAAAAAAAGTTGGTTTGGGTAGGGGGGTTATTAGATTTTGGTTGACACCTCCCTCCCCACTGTCTTTTCCCCCATATAACTACACACCAAAAGTGGGAAAACCTGAGTCCATGGGAGTAAGCGACTACAGGATTTAAACCTGTACTCTGCAGCTTCACTTCCTCCCTTCTTCCAGCGCCAAATGTGGATCAGGACGATGGGGAAGGAAAAGGAGGTCGTTATTCCCCGCGTGCGTTTTGTTCACGTGAAGCAGTAAATTCCAGTTGTGTTCAGTGCAATCCTAAACTCATAACAGCATGGGAGAGCTGTCTGTGGGCTTCCAGATGCTGCTGAACTACAGCTCCCGGTACAGTAGTCCCATCCAATAGGGCCAAAGAGGAGGGAGTGTAGGTGTTGGACACTCAGCAGTGTATGGAGAGTTACAATACTCTATCCTGATTTAAGGAGCTTTATTTAACATAGCAGATAGGACTTTCTTAGGAGCCCGTGTGTGTGTGCACATCTGTGGGCTTACAACTTCAGACCTGACATTGTTTAAATTGATGAATGTAGGACTGATATTCCAAACTTTCCAACTTAACATTATTCTTCAGAGCTACCAGTTAGTAAAGATGTGTGATTTATTGCAGAAAGGTAAAATGGATAAATAGGAAACTTTGTTATCACTGTGGCTAGGAAATATTTATAATGATATATGATGCGATGTTACATATGCCATTACAAGGCAAAGATTTCTTTGAGCCAAGCATGACTTCTGGTGATTAACATGGCCATATCAGTGTAGTTTTCATGGAAACAGCGTGGAAAAGTTTGCTATTCCTTTCTTCCCAGATATTTTTCAACTTCTTAGTATAGCCTGTAGCCTTGCAATTGCCTCATAGTGTTTTATCCAAACATTAACTGGTCCAACCCTACTTAGTATTCTGAGATCAGTTGAAGTGAGCAACATGTTGCCATCTGCTTATTTACTTATTTTCTGCCTTTCTGGATACACTTGTTTCCAATGTGGCTGATGTATAATGTTAACATAAATCTTCAAAATATCCACAAACACACATATAGCAAGCACTCGCTGTTCCACCAATTTGCTGGAGAAGTCCACTTTTGGGGGTTTCTTTGACGTTCTCCATCCCTCCCTCCTTGAATCCCTAATATGATTATGTTTAACTATAATATTTTCATGTACTGTTTTGCTTGAACCCTTCCTTCCCTTATTACTCAACAGGTTGTTGATTAATCCAAATAAATGATTTTGCATATTACCGAAACAATAGTGTTTGGAAGGGATAGTGACTCAGTACGTGTATTGCACAGTAAGACCAACAGATGACTGAATGAAAATGGAGCTATAATTTGTCGGGGATTCTGACAATGTAGAATAGAGATACGGTCCCTGGGAGGGAATTTGCACTCATTCTTAAAGCAGCAGCTTTACATCCTGGGGATACTGCTAGACAGACAGGCATTGGTGTGGACCAGGAGTGCTTTTCTCCACCTTGTATCTGTAGTCATACCCCATACTTAGCCGAGTCACTGGTTTTCATCTTGCATGTTGTACAAGACCAGCATGTTTGGTTAGTTGATGGCTCTATGTATTGTGCAAGCTGAGAAAACAGGTTAATTCATTAACCAAGTTCAAGGGACATGAATGCAGTCTCTGTTTTGGTTGTGCTCATTTCTGGAGAAACTGGCCTACCTAATCATTTCCAGGATAGATTAATGGAAAGCGTTCTAGATGGAGATGCCTTTAAAGATAGCCCTAAAGGTGCCATTCAGAAGGCAGTTATCAAAGTTCTGGCTGGAGCCTGTGGGTGGATTCACACATCATTTTAAATCATGTTTTGCTTCATTCTGGTTTATGAATAAGTCACAACTGTAATCATATTGGCTAGGTTTATACAACATGCTGAGCCATAACTAAACAAACCACATGTCCTAGACCAGTGTTGTTCAAACTTGGCCACTTTAAGATGAGTGGACTTAACTGGGAGTTGAAGTCCACTCATCTTAAAGTGGCCAAGTTTGGACAACACTGGCCTAGACAAACACAAGATACCTGTAATGGCTAGGTTTATACATGGTGAAAAAAAAATATTACTGGTTTGCTGGTGGTTTAGCATATTGTGTGAACCCAGCCATTTGTGACTGATTCAGTAAATTATGATTAAACATACCATAGTGTAATGAAATATGAGAATTACCATGCAGGGCATATTGGTTAACATGTTTTCAGGATTTGGTACAATTCAATCACAAATCTCAGTTATCTTGTACATTTTTAGCAAAACAGTGGATATGACTATGTTACTGTGGTATACTCATATTATCCACAGTGCCTAGGGCCTATGAAGCTTTTGGAGTCTATGAATGTATTTTAAGTTTTAAAAAACCTGAAAATATGAGAGGGAAATCAAAATTCATATACCTTAAAATTAAATATATTTAAGATGTTTTTACTATTTCATTATGTGTATACTTATTGCAATTTAATTTTGTGACATCATTCACTGTTGGACAAAATAGAGTTCCCTGTGACTCATTGAAGAGTATAGGTCCAGGAAATACCTTTATAACCCTAAACTTGTGGATTACTATTGCAATGAGAATTTATGAAGATAAATGGGCCAAGGACCTAGAAGGGTCTTAATGTGGCCCTGTGTCACCAAACAGCCATACTTCAGAAAATACCGTTTTGTCTCAGTCTTCAGACTGAGGTTCTGTTGCTCCTGTCTGGATACTGGCAGTTTTTGCACAGTAAAAGAGTTTGCTAATCTTTTAAACCAGTGCAAACATATTTGAGTACTCCTGCTGAAGCCTTCATGAAACTGGGAGAAATGCTTTCCTCCTATAACAATGAGCTGAATTCATGGTTCAGTTAAGATGGCATTGGGAAAAATATAACCTTGCCTTTCAAATTTATGATACTGCTGTGTGGTTGACACTATATTCTTCCAGAAGACTAGGAAGCAGTGGTGTCACATTTCTCTCATCTGATGCCCCATAACAAGGAGTGTACTTTTCATTAAGGAAGTTCTTTATTGTGATTTAAAATATATTTACATAGACTGCTATGTACCTTGATCTTCTCATTTTAGTATTCAGAAAGGATCAAGGGTAGGATATAATGTTAAAGGCTGTCCATTGTTTCTAGTGCAAAGTCCTAAGGAGTTTTGCCATAGCCATTTCTAGAAAGTGATGTAGAACCTGTTTAAAAGGAAGTAAGGGAGAGACACCTATAAATAAGAAAGAAACCCTGGGAACAATAGTATGATGATAATACCAAGGCTTCAGGCTTGAAAGACCTACTTTTATTAAAACCTTAACAGCTACCAGTCAGGGTGGGGTATAGGATTAAAGCACAGAACTTGTTAAACTCAGGAATTTATCTGCACCCTCAAAGCTCAGAATCCTGTGACCAAAAAAACAAAACAAAACGAAAAGTAGCAGACTGGATTCCATTCTCCTCACACAGACCTTCTTCCATCTCAACAGCCTGAGAAGGTAAAACATTTGGAATCCCTTGCCAGTCTGTGGTAGCTCATTCCAAGATTTAAATTCTGCCCACCCGGTTGGAGCACTGTAATCAGTGACTGAACTAAGAGGGGCAATTTTGGGGGGGGGGGGGGAAATGCCACTATGGAAGCATTCACCTTTCCCTACTGTCAAACATCACAGAAAATAACAACATTTAGCTGATTTGGGTGTGACTCCATTCTTTCTGTTGCTCTACCATGAGAAAAAAGCGAAAGAACCAAAGGACCCAAGAACATATCAACACATCATGCTTAAACAAATTATAACAGCACAATGTGTAAACCTAGCAACTCGTTTTCTGATTTGTCTATGAACATCTCAGGCACTTTAGTTACATTCTGTGGGGAACCACACAAGGGCTTACTAAATAACATACTGCACAAAGCTGCGACTCAGAAGTACACAACCGACACTCCAGAGGTACATGCATCTCTCAAAGCTTTGGATGCAACTCTAAGAAACCCTCAGAAGCTGTTCCCAAATGGTAATCACTTATGGGATAGAAAGTGGAAATTCTTAAATACTAAACTGAAGAAGAATCACATAAACAGATTTAACTGCATAGACATATCAAACACAATTTCTGTCCGTGATGCATCTTTCAATGGCCAGATGCTGATCTTGTCCTGGAAAAGTTGCATTTCTGTATGTTATGTTTAGAAATGCTGCTTGAAAAGAGATGATGTCCTTTTTCACCCAAGACTATGTGCAAGTGAAAATTTTGAAATATTGTGTATTTTGTCTTTGACGTAGCCCCTCCATTGGTTGAGTTGTAATTTATTCATGGTTGAACCCCAGAGCTTGGGGCAGTATATGTTGTATATGGAATCCTATAATATTTATCATGACAACACTCTGTAAGCTGGATTAGCCTGAGAATAATTGCCCAAGCAAGCAGAGAGATTTCCAAGTGTGCTGCCATTTGAATGGCTTGAATGCATTTCTTGATACACATCCTCATCTGGGCTTACATATACTATTGCTTATCTATAACCAGATCTAGATTTCAGCCATGATGCCTCAACCTGTTTCTTGGGGATTGTAGCTTTTGGAAGGATTTAAATCTAATTAACGTATAACAATGTTTTTTCAAAAATGAATCTAAATATACAGTGCCTGTGGCCACTTCCCTTGGTATGCCTGACTCTCATATTTTTTCCCCAAACACTTTTT